TTTATGTGATTTTAATCCGAGAAATATCACGAAATATCTTTAATTATTATTTTTTATAACAATTGATAGTTATTTATGTACCAAGTCAGTAAAGTGATTCTTTATCGAACTAGTCTGAGATTATGAACCGAGCGAGAGAAGCGAGTAATAGGCGAGTTCGATAAAGAGACTTTGTTGTCGAGGACCATACAAATTTTGATCGCCAACCGTAAATAATTATAATTAACAAAAAAGGAGATATAACATCACATTTTAGTCTGACATTCTGTCAGACCTTCATGGCTATATTGATAAATAGTAGCAGCAGATAAAATATTTGATTTTTACGGTGAAATAGTGTTTTTTTACTTCCGCAAATCGCTTTATTGACGGTTGTCAATAAAAAATAATTTTACAAATAGAAAAACTAAAAAAAAATCAAACAATTTTTGTTAATGTAGCCAGATAATATTAGGTATGGGAGAATCTTTTACCTTGGGACAATATCTATTATCTATTGTCGTGGAACAAAAATTGTCAAATACGTTCTCAAGGTTGTGAAGATAGGTTCACTTCTTAGTTGCTTTGAAGATTCGAAACAGTAGGGGAGATAAGGGAGCATTCGGACGCGGGGAGTATTCAGCCACTCAAAATATTTTAAAAATAGTTTGAATTTCCCGGGTTAATCTATTAATTCAGTGTTGTCAACATAATATTAGCGTGCGACTGAACGGAGGTAGGTCATGATGGCAGGCAATTCAGATCCTCCTGATAAAAAGTGTCGTTATTGTGGAAAATTAGTTTCAACAAGTGATATTAAATGCATAAATCCAAAGTGCGATATTACAATTCATATAAAGTGTGCAGATGCGATTTTAAGAGTTGTTGATTTTGATAAAAACTGTTTCCGTTGCCGAAAGTGTCTTGAGGAATATAATTGTGAATTGAAATCTAAAGGAAAATGTGAGTCCAACAGCGATACAATGCTATTAAATAAAGAAATTGAATGTTTGACTAGAGAAAAACAAATATTAGAAAAGTATGTAAATGAACTAGAATATTTAAATGCCATCCTAAAATCAAAAGTTCCTGTAAGTGCTACTTCATTATCACAAACCAGTTCTTTTTTGCCGCAAAGTGATAAGAATATAAAAAGTTACTCAGCTGCTGCCAAAATAAAGGTAAATTCCGATTCGGTGTTATTGGTCAGGTCAATGAACCAAAATATTAAAAATATACAGGTGGAAGCAGATATTAAATCCAAGGTGAATCCTCGTGCTGCAAATGCGAATGTGGTAGGGACAAAGCTTATCAAGAATGGTATTCTTATAAATTGTAGTGATTCTGCATCTCTAGATAATTTAAAAAAATGTATTAACTCTAAAGTAGGAAAAGCATACACCGTTACTGAACCAAAGAAGTTTAAGCCAAGACTTATGATTCATAATGTAAGTTCATCATCTGTGGAGCAACCAAATTTAATAAATGAAATTATAGAAGCCAATCAACTAAATGTGACTACAAATGATTTAAAAATTATCACCAAAATGAAGTATAAGGATGTCTTTAATGTGGTACTAGAGACATCAGCTGAACTCTTTCATGATATCACTAACAAAGGTTTTCTTTATGTAGGCTGGGTTAAATGTTATGTTAAAGAACACTTTAGCTTAACGAAATGTTTTAAATGTTGCAAATTTGGTCATCACAAAACAGACTGTCACAGTGAAATTACATGTCCCAAATGCTCCGGTCCTCACGAAAAAAATGCTTGTACATCTGAATCGTTGTGTTGTAACAATTGTAAATTATTTAATTCTAGGTTTAAGTTAAACGTTAGCACTGATCATTCCACAAACAGCCCTAACTGTAGTTACTTATTAAACAGAATAGATAATCTTAAATCTAGGACTGATTATGGCTAGTTTTGTAAATAAAAAGTTAAAGTTAGTACATTTTAATACGCGTTCTTTATTCCCTAAGTTTGATATGTTTGTTGATATAGTTACATTAAATAAAATTGACATAGTGTGCATGACAGAAACGTGGTTAGTTTATGATATTCCAGATCATGCTATTTATATACCTGGGTACAAGATATTTCGAAATGATCGTGGCTCGCGAGGAGGGGGTTTAGGATTTTTTGTCCGTGATACATTAAAAACTTCAGTAACCATCGGTGATTTCAATCCAGTACAGGGCATTGAGCATCTTTGGATAACCGTAGAAATTGGAAGGTCATCGGTTTTGATTGGAGTTATTTACCGAACGGAAACTTGCAATATTACAAACTTTATTGGATATTTTGATAATATTTTATCATATATATTACCTCAGTCTGATCATATTATTATTACGGGCGACATAAACATAAACCAGTTGGTTGATAACCAAATAAATCATTGCATGGAATCTTATAATTTTTCACAGTTAATATCAGAGCCCACTCGTATAACTACGACTTCTCAGACACTATTAGATGTAATTTTCACAAATAGGACAGATTTAGTTTTAAATTCAGGAGTCATTGATCATCAATTATCAGATCATCGTGCTGTTTACTGCGACATTGACTTAAACGTTAGTTATAAGATTCCCATATTAAAAACGTATAGATGTTATAAATATTTCTCAATCAACGCTTTCAACGCAGACCTAGTGAGTGCGCCGTGGCTAAATATTATTTATGAAAATAATATTGAAAAGAAAATACAGATTTTTAACAACCTAATCACAATATTATTTGACAACCATGCTCCTTATGTAGAAGCCAAAATTACTAAACCGTATGCTCATTGGTTGACACCTACAATCCGGGACATGATGAAAACACGAGATAAAGCACTTTCTAAATATAAAAGATCCCACAATATATTAGACTTCATTCATTACAAAGAAATGCGGAATATCGTAACTAGTGCAATTAGGAAAGAAAAATCAGCTTATTTAAATTATCGTGCAAGCATGCAAAACAAAAAAGACCTTTGGAAAGCAATGAAATCCTTGAATATTTCAAATAAAACTACATTCCATATTCCTGATGGCTTAAGTGACCCTACTGATATAAACAAGTATTTTACGTCGGTATTCAGTCAGAGAAATTGTTGTCCTTACACTACATCTTATTATAACTCAAATCTATTTAATCCTGGTATTAATTTCTCTTTTAAACTTGCAACAGTAAATGAAATTAGGTCAATAGTTTTGGAATTAAAATCAAACGCATTAGGAATTGATAACATCTCAGCAAAAATGTTACAACTTTCTATTTCAGTCTGTGCTCCTTACATAACGCACATTGTAAATTGCTGTTTAGAAGTTGGTTACTTTCCTGATAGCTGGAAGTATTCCTTAATCAAGCCTTTGCCAAAATCAAATAAGCCTGAAACATTTAGCGACCTTCGGCCCATAAGTATTTTACCGACGTTGTCCAAAATTATAGAAAAAGTAATTAGTAAACAAATATATACATACGTATTTTCTCATAATATTGTAACCACTAAACAATCAGGTTTTCGAAAGGGGTTTAGTACTACAACATTACTCTTAGATTTAACAGATAACATTATAAGATCAATGGATGAAGGAAAAGCTACAATAGTTACTCTGCTTGACTTTTCTAAAGCGTTTGACACTATAGATCATCAGCTTCTTTGTGCCAAACTCAAATATTTTGGTTTCGATGAAACCTCACTAAGATTTTTCAAATTTTATTTAAGTAACCGCTACCAAAAAGTAACGTTAGAGAAATCATCAAACTTTATGTGTGTAACATCAGGAGTACCCCAAGGCTCGGTTCTTGGTCCCCTTTTGTTTTCCATATATATTTCAGACCTTTATAAATTATTGGAGCATGTAAATATACACTCTTTTGCTGACGACACGCAACTATATTATTCCTTTGACCCATGTGAAGTAGATATAGCCTCGCAAAACATGAATTCAGATTTAAATGCAGTATATACATTTTCTATGAATCATAACCTTAAGCTAAATGCCAGTAAATGTCATACAATATTATTTTGTCCTAAAAATATAGAACATAATGTACAACAGAACCTTAAGCTATTCATTCAAAATGAACCTCTAAAATCTTGTAGAAGTGCCAAAAACTTAGGCATTATTTATGACTGCAAATTAAGGTTTCAGGACTATGTTTCGCTCCTAGTCAAAAAATCGTATCTGGTTATTCGTCAATTATACAGGAATCGAGGTATTTTGAGTTTCAAATTACGTAAGTTGCTTTGTGAAAGTCTTGTATTGTCCATCCTAAATTATGGACTTTTAATTTACTATCCTTGTTTGGATCAAATAACCAAATACAGACTTCAAAAGATTCAAAATTGTTGTTGTCGTTTTGTATTTGGTATCAGAAAGTATGATAGAATATCAAATAAAATTAAAGAACTTAGCTGGCTCAATATAGGAAATTTATTTAAATATCAGATGGCGGCCACGGTATTTCAAATTCTTTTAACCTCAACTCCCATATACTTAAAAAATAAATTGATATATCGGAAGGATCTGCACAGTTTACATTTAAGATATCCACACAACTTAACGATTCCGAATTACCGATTATCATTTTTCAAAAGATCTTTCACATATAACGCCATTTCAATATATAACAGTCTACCTAGGGAAATTAGGACATGTTCTTTGACATTTTTGAAACAAAATTATAAAACGTTGCTATTAGTTGAGCAATGAATACAGTGCTAACGTTAATATATTATTAATTTCAAACATTTTTCCTTATTTAATTGTATTTTAAGTTCCATTGATTTCAGTTTAGATTAAATACAGGGTTAACATTTTTAATCATAAATTAATTGTATATTAAATTTCTTATTTTTTTATATTGTAAATGATGGATACCTTTTGATTATTTTAAATTTATATTTATGTTGAGGTTAAGTTGAGTAGCGCAAGCTAGACTTCGCCTCATGATGTTTATGTGCATTGTATATTACAAGCAAATAAAGGCAATTTATTATTATTATTATTATTATAATAATCCACAACCTGAAGTGTGTTTGAGTGGTGATTAGTGGAGGAGCCGAATTTTATAAATTTAACAAGAAAAACGAGCTCTAAGGTAAGAAATTTTATAACAGTTGCATTCTTTGAAATCTTATCGATTTCTAACCTAAAAAATTGTCGTTTTTTAAATGGCATCATTTTAATTTTTTTGGTAGCATTCGTCCACACGTACCTGGGGTGCATTCGACAGGTGGACGAATGCTCTCTGGATTATTTATTTTTCAGATGCCACGAAAACGTATTTTAAAAACTGAGAGAAATTCAATTGACGAGGCAGCTGTTAAACGGGCCATTATATGCTATTTTGATGGTACCTGCTCCGAAAGAGAAGGTGAAAGGGTAAATAATATCAAAAGATCCACCCTTCAAAGTCTAGTGAAGAAAATTTTATCCAAAAAACTAAGGAAGAATATTTAAGGCAAAACTTTCAGAACCAAGATGACAGGAAATGTCAGCGAACCAGTTGACGATTCACCAAAATACTCCAGTAAATATATCAAGTTTTCACCATGGAGGAAGAAGAAAAGTTGGAAAAATATATTTAAAAATGTTCGGATATTAACTATGGGCTGACCTACGTTAAGGTCCAAAAATTAGCTTACGACTATGCTAGTGCTCTACCACATTGCCAGGTTCCCAGGGAATGGCACGAATCAAAACAGGCTAAGGAGGGATGGAGAAGGGGTTTCATGGAAAGAGGCATAAATCGCTTTCTTTAATGAAACCGGAAAGCACGAGCTTAAGTCGCAGTATGGCTCTTAATAAGTTTAGGGTTCAACAATTTTTTAATGTTTTGATAACCTTAAGAAGATTTATGACTGTTATAAATTTCCTGCTGAGCGAATATACAACCTTGATGAAACAGGAGTAAGAACAGTAATGAACCCAGTAAAAGTTGTAACAACTACCGGTAAAAAGCAGGTATCCCAAGAGGTATCAGCAGAAAGGGAGGAGCTAGTGACCTTTGTTGGTATTTTTAATGCTGCAGGCCAACGCATTCCACCTGTGTATGTGTTCCCTAAGATAAGAAATATCGACGACTTCATGCATGATGCCCTAAATTCAAGTTTAGCTCTTGGAAATAAAAGTGGATGGATGACCGCAGAACTGTTTCCCAGTGTGCTAAAGCATATAGCAACTCCTACATATTGCACTATAGCTAACCCTATTTTGCTACTTATTGACAATCATGAGTCACATATGAATATTGCAAGTGTCAAGTTTTGCAAAGAAAATGGGATAGTTCATTTAAGTTTTTTGCAGCACACAACTTACGGGATGCAGCCTTTAGATTACAAAATCTGAAGAAATTCCGGAAAATGAAAACAAAGAAGTTTTGGACAATGTAAACAAAGAAGATTTGGACAATGAAAACAAAGAAGCGAAAACCCTTCAGGATCGAGAAAGAGTACGGAAGTAAAGAGGAATCATTACTAGAAGAAGACGACGATATTGAAAATGTACCTCTCAAAACACTGTAAAACAGAAATAAACAAAATAATCCAAAGACTAATATACTGAACGTCACAACCATCTCGCCGTCGCTGTCGTGCAGTGGTATTTTCCTTGCAAAAAAATTCAAACCAAACTGTCAAGATAACGCCCGAATCTGTCAAACCTTACCCTAAAGCAGTTAAAATAGAGAGCAAACGTAAAAGAGAACCTGTCCTTTCAAGGTGTTATACTGATACTCCTGAAAAAGATAGACTTGAGGAAAAAGAGCGGGAAAGCAAAGAAAAAAAGATAAGTGCCCAAAACGAGATCTGTTTTATAATAATGATCCAAAAGAGAATGTCAATAGACAGCCAATAAAGAAAGTTAAATTGGATCAACTAAATTGCTCCGACTCATCATATACGTGACTTCTCATCAGTTCATGATAATGCAAACGAAGATGTTGATGAAGAATTTAAAAATATTGAAGAAATTAAGTGAAGTAGACTTTGTTCTTGTAAAATTTAATGTTCGTAGTTCTTTTAACCATTTTGTTAGACATAAAAACGAAAAAATGACACGTGTTGAATTTCTAAGACGAAAAGGACTTTCCTCCCATTGACGATATAACAGAAATAGATATTAATGATGTCATTGGCAAAATTGTACCCTATTTGAATGCTGGAACTGCGAGAACAGCCTCATATCACTTTAATTACAATTTTGGGTTTTTGGTTGTAATTCTGCTTTTTGTTTGTGTTGTGTTAAATTTCGCAATATTTTTGTTTCATTTTCGAAAAAAAAAAAAAATCAGTTTTTTGTTTGCGATGCATTAAAGTTTGAAGTATTTGCGAATAAATTTATTGTGTAAAATTAGTTGTCACTCTTTGGTTATTCCCATAGAAGTATCAGTTTTTAGCTTTGGCCGAATGCTCCCTATGCGCTGGCCGAATGCTCCCTTGGTATGCGGAGCATTCGGCCAAATGCCCCAAGTCACCAAAACTATTTTTTTTTGCTCAGTATACCAATATTTTATCTAAATAACCTATATAATACTTAGGTTATTGTTTATTAATTATATAGGAATATATATTATTTATCGCAAAAAAAATAAGTGCCCGAATGCTCTCTGATCTCCCCTACACATGTTATTAGTAATATTTTGTGCTTTGAGCACAATGATTTTATTTTCTCGACTTAGGACTGTGTATGTTGTGGATTAGAATTGAAGTTATGGAAAAATTGAATTATGTAAGTGAATATTTTAGTTTCTTATTTTTGGGTAATATAAAAAAATAGTGATGGGACTTTTCATGAAAAGTAATTTTTGGACTAGTCCGACGGACATGAGCGGAAAAGTAGTTGACCTTGGTCATAAAAGACACACAGTTAAATGATTCACCATCCTGGGATTTTTCAAAACTACTTTAAGAACAATATTTGCATTTTCGTTTTTTTAGGCAAATCATTTGTAACACTTCCAATTGGTATTTATGGGACGACACTCAAGGAAATCGTGGGACAAATGAAATATCCACTTGCATCTTTATGTATATCATGAACCATCCTACAATTGGTGTTGTCTGTTTGATGTCCGACGGCTGCGGAGGGCGATAAAAAAATTCAATTTTTGCGTCAATGTGTCATCCAACTCTTGAAAACAATAGATCACAAGTTTTTTGAAACAGGACATACAGAGATGGAATGCGATTCGATCCATTCCAAAATCGAAAAAAAAAAAAAACAAAAATCAAAATTTGTTCCTTGTATGTACCTGAAGGATGGGTACAGCTGATAAGAGACGCACGCATAAATCCAAAACCTTTCAGCGTCAATAACTTGTTTATTTTCGATTTTAAGTCGTATTCAATTTTAAAAATTAAAATTCTTTGGCGAAATGTTTGCTGGCTTCATTATGCACGACTTTCCTTAAAACTAGTTTTAAAGAGCCCTCCTTTTTGGAACAAAAATTCAAAAGAAACAAGGGACGACACCAAAAAAAAGAGCAGCCAGAAAAGGCTTACCAAGATACTTTATCCATTACGAATGCAAAATATGCAGATTTGGCGAAAATCTGCAAAGACGGCACTATTCCTGCTATTCACCATCATTTTTATAGAGGTCTAAAGCCGGACGCAAACAAAAAAGACAGGTTACCGGAACCCAACTTTGATGAACAGTCCGACTATGAATAGTAATAAGATTTTTAGTTTTTTCTACAATATCAGTTAATTTTTTTTAAAATAAAATGATATTTTTATAACACGAATTGTTTTTTCTCATAAAAAACTGATTAAGAATGAAACACTATTTTTTAATTTGCTCCCCTATAAAATTTATAAAATGCCCATTCGTGGTTTTGGCATCTGGGTGACAATATGTCCCAAGGTGCAACATTCTCCCCTAAATACACACATCGTGCCTACTGAAGAAGACCGTTACAACTCAAAATATTTTGATTTTTGAGATTGTTGCAGTAAATGACTCAAGAAAGAAGGTATCTACTATAATGTAGAAAAAAGTTACAAGTCTAATACAACAACTCCCTAAAAGATGGCGAGATGTTACATGCGATTTACCACGCCTCGGCACGGTGCCGATCTAGACTGTTGCAACGATCAGTGTTGTCAGTTTGTAACAATTGTAACAAATCTATTACATTTATGAAGGGTTTATTACATTATTACATGTTCAATAAATCTATTATATTTTCACGAGCCTCGAACAATTGATGAACTTGAACCTAACATGAACCTAACCACCGTGTCTTTATTTTATGTTCCTAATATATTGTTTATTATTTTATACAACTAATCCCATCCCAAACATGTTTCTTTGATTAGGTTTATCCCAAACATATTTTCTTGAGCATGCCCAAAGCGCTTAAAAAGTTTCTTATATCATTGGACCTTGCATTGGAGGCCGAATTTATTTTTCCTTTATTTTCTTAATAAAAGGTTTGTTTCAACCCCAGTATAGAACCGTTCTTAATTTATCTGCGTATGAGTAGTACGAAGAGTAGAACAGTTAAATCGTACTATATGTACTACTCATGCGCCGATAAATTCAGAACGAGTCTGCTGTTGCAACAAAACTAAAATTATAAGAATGTGGAACAAAAATATCCTCGTGCTGCATTATGACAATAATTAAAAGACTGTCGTTGTTCTTATCAATACATAGGTTATTAAAAACATAAAACATTAATTATCAATATCAATAAATTGAATCTATTTTTTATGTATAGTTCATTTTAGGTTGACTATAATTTCTATTACATTTTCTTGAAATTTATTACAATTTTGAGAGTTCATCTATTACATTCCTTCAGAGTGCTCTGGCAACACTGGCTACGATTCAGTTTGTTACCAGTCTTGCTTAAGAAAGTGTCGTGCGTGTTCACAAAAAGCGTTACATTTTAATTTATAACACCAGTGTTTCTCAAGTAAGAGAACATTTCAGATATTTTTCCTTAATGAAGGTTATATTTCAAAATGTAGCTTTCTTACCTAAATTTAAAATGAAATTAAGTTTGTTAAATTATGAAGAATAGAGCAACATTTTAAATTGTAACGCTTTTCCACATAATTTTTAATTCAATTGTGTTTTATTTCAAAATATAACGTTTTTTTTTAAGACTCTTTTTTATATTTTATATTTTTTTGTGAGAAAAAAAATATTATTTTAAATTGAAATAGTCTTGCATAATAGGTATAATAGGTTTTTGGTGTCATCTTAAAATGCATTGCTTTTTTTAATAAAATATAGAATAGCTCCATATTTATTTATTATTCATTTAAAATGGGTAGTAAAATGATTTTTTTTTTGCATTTTTTTGCTTCTAAATTTCTTTTAAATATTTTTAATCTTGTAGCGATATTAGTAGACGAATGTATAATACGAATATTTTTGTTTATAGATAAAAATGTCTGAAAATATATAAATCGAAGAAAGCGGATTTTAAAAATGTTAAATACCATTGATGACAATAAAGATGACAACACTTCCTCAAATAGTAGTTTAGTCGCAAAAAGAGAAGCTATAGGGCCATCCCACACCCTATCCGATTTAACTAATATAATTTTCACTTCACAAGCAAGACATGAAAAAAATCTGACGGTTCGCTCTCAAATAATTGGTGAGACTAATTCCTTAAACATAACTTCACAGGACAATGAAGATAATCTACCAATTACTTTCCTAAATATAATTTCACATAACAATAAAGATAATCAACCAGCTGACTTTCAAGGTAATTAGGTAAATTAATTATAGTGATGTATATTACTTATTATACCATAATCTATAGAAAAGGAAAATCTTCCATCCGTGGATACACAAACACAACTACAAAATGACAATCTACATACTGGTCCCTCCCAAAACATAACTGACGTTTAACACTGCTACACCAATCAACATTCGACTGCTTCTTTTCAAGGTAATAATAATTATTCAAAACAGTGTAATCACTTGCTGATTTTTTAATTTACATTTTAGAAATCCATCATTGGCATCATCATCGTCCTCTTCCAAAAGTTCAACATCGTCTTCATCTGATTTGTCATCATCGTCTGACGAAGAAGAGGATCCGTACAGATCAGATGATAGTATAGTATACAGGATCCATTATACAAAAATGATTCAAATTCTTCAGACACAACAGAAGAATTAATAGAGGAGAAAACTCATAACGAGAACGATCAACAAAAGAAGAGAAGAAAAGTAATTTATCACAGTAAAATAGAGAAAAAAGGCAAAAGAAAAAGGAAGAATGCGGAAGAATGGCAAAAAAAACTAGCAAAAACTGAGGAATAAAGGAGAAGCTAATGTTTCCTTACAAGTACGAAAGAAAGAAGATGGAACAAAAACTAAAGTACTAAAAGAACGCCAAAAAAAAAATATATTATGCCGCCTTGCGATGAGAAATGCCGTCTTAAATGTTTTGCCAAAATTTCAGATGAAAAACGTCAACAGATATTTAGTGAGTACTACAGTTTTGGAAACTTTGAAAAACAAAGAGAATACATAGCTTCTAACATGACATCCATTAATCCAAAATATAAATATAGCAATGTTGAACAGCCTAGAAATCCTAACAATGCATTCCATTTTATTATATCCGGAACGAAAGTACAGGTTTGTAAAAAGTTTTTCATGGCATCTCTTGCTACAAATAATAGAGTATCTCAGACAATAGTCCAAAAACAAAAAAATCATCGAGATGGACAAAAGGGGAATGCACAAAAACCATAAAAAAAGTAAACGAAGAAATAAAAAATAGAATCAGTAAATATATTAGCTCTTTACCTAGAATAGAGAGTCACTACTGTCGATCCCGGACAACAAGAGAGTATATAGAAGGAGGAAAAACTTTAACTGACCTTTACATAGATTACCTAGAACTCAGCAAAGAAAATCACGACTATGCAAATTACCAATTATATAGTAAAATCTTTAATGAAGAACACAATATTTCATTTACCCAAAAAGGACCAATGCGAATTGTGCCTTCAATACAAAAATGCATCAGAGGAAGAAAAGAAAAAAATAGAAGAGCGGTTAACCTACACATTATGGAAAAAGAACTTAGCAGAATGGAAAAAGAGGAACATAAAAACATGGAGGGTAATACTAAAGTGTTGGTGTATGACCTTGAACAAGTGCTGCCTTGTCCAACGTTTCCAAACTAAATGTATTTAAGGCACGAAGGTGAGGGATTATTAAGAGGTTCCAATGAAATAGGAACTTGTATTTTGAAATATTTAAAAGATCTTTTACAAGAAAATCCTGCAGAAAGTCTAGATATTATTTTCTACTCAGAAAATTGTTCTGGGCAGAATAAAAATAAATTTATTCATGCTCTTTATATCTATGCAGTAAATACATTAAAAATCAATTCAATTACACATAAGTTTTTTATCAAGGGTCATAGCCAAAATGAGGGCGATAGTGTTCATGCCCGAAAAGAGTCTGAGATTTCAAAATATAAAAAAACCAACCCAATCTATGTACGAAATGTGTTTTCAAGATATACTCGACATAAAAAAAACTTGCCACAGACTTGTATGTCCAACGTTTTATTTTACAAATACTACTATAATGAAGTAGTTATATGGAAGCTGAAATAATAAGTGAAAGAAAACAGATTAATTTTGGCAACATAACATTAAATAAAACTTTTTCTACAAAACCTGGTATTTCTGAGACAAAAAGAAAAGGGTTGTTAGAATTAATCGAGAAAAAAAAATGCGTACCTCTATATTATTTAGATTTTTTAAAGAATTTGTAAAATTAGGCAATGTTCATATTTTTATATTTCTTTGTTTTGTAATGTTTTTTGTCTTTAATAGAATATTTTTCAGTTTTGTTTGCATTTTACTCTGCTATTTTCATGTGAATGTGTGTTCTATATGCTCCTGTTGGCTGATTTTAATTTAATTATTAATATAATAATATGTTAGGATTATCAAGCTAATGTTTTGCGATCTTTTTCTAAAGTTACCTAAATTTTTTTTTATACTTTTCATTACATTAATAAAACGTTTTAAAAAACACAATTGATTTTATTTTCTGTGGAAAATAGTTGTAAGTTACATTTTCTGACTTATTTCGATGTTTCAAATACTATATACCTGTTAATTAATAAAAACTATGACATTTACTATAAAATAATTTTTTTCTTTTTATTGACCAGTTTTTAGAAAATTGGAGGCATTATTCTATTTTAGTTACATTTACTTAATTAGAAAAAAATTATCTTCAAGAAAGATACATTTATTTTTTTTTTTACAAAAATACCAATGAGGAAGAAATTAGAATTATGTCATCTAAAACATACTCGTAAGCGTCATATATTTAAAAAACATTGAAAGTTACACCTCAGTAAATGTTTCAGAAAAAAATAATTTATTGGGGAAAAAAAATCTTTATTTGCTCTCCTGAAAAAGTACATTTTTTTAATTGTTATGGTCTTCTTCCGCACGCACGATATGTCTGATCATGTATTTCAGGAATTTAATTAAAAAAAAATATATATTGAAATAGTAGCCATATGTTTTGCTCAAAAGCATCGTAATTATTAAGTAATTGTATATAATTATACATACTGCTTTTACTACATACAGTTCTCAATTTCACAGTACAAAATTTTTCAATACTCAACTGTTTAAATGGTTGTAAAACCCAACGAAATGTTAAAAATCTAAATGTCAACAATAAAATGGCGCATGTGCAATACATGAATAACAGTGAAAATCACTAGACATATTAAAAGATACTATTATTTTAAGTAACATATTCCCTGGGCACTTCCACAACAATGATTTAATGTATTTTGCATATCATTGGTATTTAAAAAAATAAACGGTATTCATGATAATAATTAAAAATTGTATGCTCATTATCACTGAACATTAAATACTGTCACTTCAATTTTTAAAAACACCAATGATGTTCTAAATGAATGTAATATGAAATTCATGACTAGTCACATGACACTTCACTTTTAAACTATGGTTGTTGCTTAAAATTACTAGTGTCTCGGTTTTGGAGGTGTTTTTACCACATGTGAGTTTCTCGGATTTCGCTGATGATATGAGAAGCTCTTTGAAGGGCCTAAAAAAAAAATAAATAAATAAACAGAAAAATATAATACTTGGCAGATAAGACTAAGTTAGGGAAACTTTTTAGAATGATTTTTTAATTTAAAAGTAGGCAAGATTTTTTTTAAAATGAGAAAACTCGCATCTCTTTTATTTTAGAAATTGATATTTGTACAGTGCTTTTCAGATAAAAGTATTCACCTTAAGTAACTTTGGAAGGACTGATTATTACAAAAACAAATAAAAGTAATTTTGAAAACATGCAGATGTCCTTAAAAATTGAGATTTTTATTTTCTCATAGATTATCAAATCCTGACCAATTGTATACGGAACTACCCCTGAGGTATCCCCTTTCTAACAAAAAGAGAATCATCAAAATCGGACAACGCTGAACATATATATTATATAAAAAAAAAAATATTCCGACGAATTGAGAACCTCCTCCTTTTTTGAAATCGGTTAAAAAATACATCAATTAACGCTTCCGCTGCTCAATCTTTAATGCCAAGTACACGCTCTGGTCCATCGGTATACGAACATTTAGAAGTTTGGACGTTCAATAACGTCATGGGCCATACACAATGAAAATCTAAAAATTTATTATATGTATAAAGTGATCATAAATACAGACAGAAGTAAACACAAAAAGAGAACAGAATATAGACCTCTACCGGATGTCAGTCAAAGAAGTATATTACCGGACCGCTGTCTGACGGTGTACCTATAAATTCATTTATAGATCAATCTAGTCAAGCACTTCATGAATGGTTGACCCAAGTTCTTGGAAGCCTATCTGGGGAGTGGAATAAATGAGAAATAATAAATCGAAAGAAGTGGGGAATCCAAATGGTGGTACAATTAACCAATGAAGCTGCAGCCACCATGTCAAAATCTTGTAGGGAAGGCTGGACCATTCAAGGCGGAGAGTCAAAAACAGTCAAGAGTAGTTTAAAAGGAGGTCTGAAAGGATGAAAAAAGACGTAAACTTTTGTCGTAGTTCTATACAGGCTGTCCCATTAGTGCATAATTGCTTGATATTTACATTTGTAATATAGACACATGTTTTCAATAAAAGTTATGTGGATTTGAAAAAAATATAATTTAAAAACATTTTTGGATATATAGTGTTAAGTCTTATTATTTTAGACTTTATTTTAAAACCGGCAACGCCGCACACGGCATATTCTTTGCGCCTTGTTCTAAAAGGCATAGGGCACTTAAGATTGTATACAAATTGAAGCGAATGGTGCAACGTTTACCGGCAAACGGTTCATTCTGTTAGTTTTGTATTATTTCTATTACATTAAATTCGTATAAAAACCATAAGGCAGTTTTTTGGGTTATTTAAAGTGCAATCAAACATATAGGGTGTTACGCTTTTGCCTGGAAAGTAAAAACATGTTTTTAAATAGAACACCCTGTATTTTACTTCAGTTTTAGAGTGGCATAGTAATGATGTATTTATCACTAGAATATTTTTCAACTTATAAGGATCAAGCTGTAACGAAAGAATTGGTTCATTTTATACAGTGATTTAATTATACATATACAGGGTGGCCTAGTGGATAATTGATCGATAGATATTTTGTACAACGTAAAATGGGACAGAAGACTTTTAGAATAAATGGGTGGTAAATCATTAACATTTCGGGGGTTGTAACCCCTAAGCCCCTAAGTGCATCACTGGTTATACATGCATGTGTGAGGAGTTTGTGGATCGAGACAATAAACTCACTGACTGAGCTAAAAAGAATGTGTATTTCATTTTAACAAGAGTGTATAAATGATTTAAATTGCAATAAAAAAATAATTATTAAACACAATAGGTTTTCTTTTGACAAATATAGATTATTAACAATATTTTTCAACTATTTTATATTATTTAAATCCAAATTTTTGTTAAATATAAACCTTTTTAATCAAAAAACACCAAAACTGAATATTTTGATTTTTTTCACTTTACAAAGCTTTCAAATATACGAATTTTTTAAATTTTGTGCTCTACAAGAATTCGCGACGAAAAAATTTTAAACGGTTCAAAAGTTATGGTATTTTTAATGAAAAAAGATTTTTATACATGTTATTTAAATGGGAAATTTTCAATGCTAACCGACACCTTTTAAAATTGAGCAAAAAATACTACCTTTTAAGGAAATTTTTTCTCTGTATATACAGTGCGTCGCATTTAAGATGAAGACACCCCTATATTTTGTCTATCTAAATAAATACAAATTTGAAGTTTCGCACAGTAATACAGGGTGATGGTTCATATTTTTTAAGATACTCAACTGAAATTTAAATTTTAAACACAGCCTTCTGCGAATCCACAAACAGGATCAATTTTCGATATTTTTCTTCGCGTTGGAGATATCAAAAAAAGTTATTTGAAAAAGTTGTTCAGAATATTATTCTAACCCCACATACCAAATTTCATGACAAAATTCGCATTTTTAGTTTTTCCATTATTTTTGTCAATACACAAAATTATTAAATGTTGATTTTTTTTATTCGATAAGCTAGTGTGCCATGGATAGGAATAATTTGATACTTGTAAAATCATTAATGTCAATCATAGCACACTAGTTTATCGAATAAAAAAAATCAACTTTTAATAATTTTTTGTGTATTGACCAAACTAATAAAAAAACTAAAAATGCGAATTTTGTCATGAAATTTGGTATGTGGGGTTAGAATAATATTCGGAACAACTTTTTCAAATAACTGCTTGTGATATCTCTAACGCGAAGAAAAATATCGAAAATTGACCCTGTTTGTGGATTCGCAGTAGGCCGCGTTTGAAATTTAAATTTCAGTTGAGTGTCTTGAAAAATGTGAACCATCACCCTGTATGACTGTGCAAAATTTCAAATCTGTATTTATTTAGATAGCCAAAATATAGGGGTGTCTTCATATTAAATGCGACACACTGTAGGTTCATTTTAACCCATAAATTCGATAGGTTACTTTTTTTGGCTCACCCTAATATGTAGAGCTGTTTGTTATAGTAAAAAAATTATTATTTTTATATAGCATAATATAGTTGCATATAACTTACCTTCAGCATGTCACCAGCTTCGCGACGTCTTTGCGCAATGTGTTCAGACTCATCAAGCAGCTGATCTGCGTTGTCAGCTTTGTACAGGTGCGTTACAAGTTCAGATTGTAAATTGTCTTTAACGAAATTAACTAAGAAGTGCATAACGGCTTTGGGTACTGTGTCTTGAATAGACTTTCTTACTATGTAGAAGTACGAGTTGATCAATCGTTCTGAAAAATAATGATACTGATGAGCGTACAAAATTTATGTTTACTTTTACATTTTTTTTTTAGATTTTATTAATCATGTAACAAAATATAGTTGTAACATAATTATTTAATGTATTTTTTATTATAGGCAATGGGACAAATAAAGTTCTTTGACAGAAACTCATACCAATTATTTCACAGTCATGTTCTTCATTTTCGGATAATTTTCTAAAACCACTGCTGTTCACTGGAACTTGCGGTAAAAGGTTGACAGGTTTCTGCGGGCTCAAAATGTTCCTTACTTCCGCCTCGGCCTTGACGTTGTCTGGTACATTATTTACATGGTTTAAATCGATGTCTTTGCCGTTTGAGTTTTGATTGGCCCATGAAGAGCCGTCATCGTTTAATTGTTGATTATTTGAAGAACGGGACTGAAATAGAAAAAAAGAGAAAATATTATTGTTAATTACTCTATAAATATAAGTTATCTAGATTTCTTGAAGGCAAGTTTTTTTTGTCAAAATGAAGGTTTGTAATTTTACCATATTTTACTAATAAATTAAAGACATCATTTTAATAAACTTCTGAAAAAAAAAAAAGAGAAATTTGGTTACAGTTTTAAAGTCTTAAACACCCGAAAATGGAATGAAGTTTTGGGAGAGATTACCAGTCAGTGACAATGTTAACATCAGTACCGATGACTAGCCCAAGTAATTCCCATAGTACCAGATCCTTTCGGTTTAGGTTTTGCTACGAATCCTTAGTTCCTGGGGTACACCCTGTTACTCATATTGCTACTTTATTAGGTAAGTTTACTTTAATGGTTCTTTTGAAGTACCTAACTTACTTTATCGATACCATTTATTGGACCTGTAATCACCCCTAAATGGACGATTCGTGGACAAAAACTGCCAAGTTTTCTCAGTAGTGGTTTAACGTCAAATACAGCTATATATATATATATATATATATATATATATATATATATATATATATATATATATATATATATATATATATATATGTAGAGTGACGATTGGTATATTATTAATTAATAGCGTTTTGTAAAAATTTCAGTATTAGTTGAGTAGGTTAAAAATACACACAACCAAACTTATATGGAATCACTGTGTATTTCTGAATAAACGTTTTGTAAGGAAATAATTTGGTAATTAACTTTAAGATGAGGCCTTTTGTTCTTAACAAACATGATAATAAAGAAGAAACGACTGCTGAGATTTATTATTTTGCGAATTTTATGTTCTGAAGTAAAATCACGATCCTCCGGTAATTTTATTTCGGTCCAAAAAAACAACAAAATGCCTTATATTGGACTAATAGATATGCAGAGGGGTGAGAATTATTACTCTCATTGAACAAGGAATGCCCCAATGAGACGTAGCAGAGGTATTAAGAGATACCCAGGGTGTTGTATCGAAAACATATGAAAGGTACTTGGAACTAGAAACTCTCAAGAACTGGCCCATACAAAGTAGTCAAAGAGTCACAACTGAACAACAGGACCGCTTTGTGTGCCAATTTATAAATGGATGTCAAAAAATAATTAGTTTGAATCCAAAAAACTAACCAATCAGAGCCCACCTTCTATTAAGTTCTCTCCTAGCTCCATTTACTACCAAAACCTTAGCGGATTAAGAACAAAGCTAAGTAAACTTATTTCTGATGTAGCAACTGTATCCCACGAAATCATTGTTTTCACCGAAACTTGGCTGACAGAAAACTTTAGTGATGCCGAACTTGGATTTGAAAATTTCAACATTTACCGCAAGGACAGATCTGCACAAACCAGCTCATCCTCCAGAGGAGGTGGAGTCCTTATAGCAGTTTCCAAATCTATACGAAGTAGTTTGCTCAACTCTACACAAGAAATTGAACAGTTATTTGTCCTCATAGGCAATGGTAAAAGTACTCTTATTTTAGGAGCTGCTTACTTTCCTCCAATGTCACCAAATGATAAATATGTTTCGTTCACTGAAAACTTAGATAATTTGTCAGAGATGTATCCTCATGCACAATTTTGCATTTTGGGCGACTTCAATTTACCTAAGGCCATATGGATGTCAAATAATCTATGCTCAACTGCTACCTCTTCCTTGGGACCTGGAACTAGAGCTGATGAAACTGCTGCGATTAATACTATCTCCAATATGTGTGCTTTTCACAACTTCTTTCAGAACAATGCAGTTCGGAATGATTACAATACTACTTTAGATTTAGTTTTTTCTTATCAATCTTCAACAACCACCTCTCTCGCTAGTGATGCTCTAATTAATGTCGATAAATATCATCCCCCATTACTTATACACTTGAACCTTGCTGTAAATTATTGTAACTCGTCACATGTACCTAATGAGTATTACTATGATTACAAATTCGCAGATTTTCGATCCATTGAACATCATCTGGGATTAATTCAGTGGGATTCACTATTCTTAAATAAATCACTTGATGAAATGGTAAATATTTTTTACGATTTTGTGTATTCTGTCATTCATTCCTTTGTACCATTGAAAAAATTATCCATTCGACGATTTCCCAGATGGTTTTCACCTGAATTGAAAAATCTCATAATTCTAAAGAAGGAGGCCCACCTTAGATTTAAATTTAGTGGATCTTCTAACGACTACATGGTATTCTCTAACTTGCGCTCTCAATGTAAACTTAAGTCTAAACAGAATTACAATGATTACATTAAACTTACTGAATCATCTGTTGGTAATGATATTAAAACATTTTGGAATTTTGTCAATTCAAAAAGAAAAAGTAATGAGTTACCCAACGAAATGTACTATAACAACACTAGATGCTCTATGGGTACAGATTTAGCTAATATGTTTCAGGATTACTTTAGCTCAGTCTATAGCAATCAACCATGCCATAATTATGATAAACCATATTCAACCCATTTAAATGTTGCAAATTATCAAATGTCTATTTCAAAAATATTTGAACATCTGAGCTGTTTAGATATGAGTAAGGGATCAGGTCCTGATGGCTTGCCACCTTCCTTATTGAAAACTTGTTGTTATGTTATATCCCGTCCACTGCATATTATCTTTAATGTTTCACTTCATAATGGAATGTTTCCTAATTACTGGAAATCAAGTTTTACTGTACCGATTTACAAATCAAGTTTTACTGTACCGATTTACAAATCAAGCGACAAATCAAATGTAACTAATTACAGGCCAATATGCATTCAAAGTGTGATTCCTAAACTCTTTGATAGTATTATTACAAAGTATTTATCGAAACTGCTTGATCCTTTCATCATAGATCAGCAGTTTGGTTTCCGCTCCAAAAAGTCCACTGAACTTAACTTGTTGTCTTATGTTGATTACTTATCGAATGCCTTGGATTCTAATGATCAAGTTCATGCTATATACACTGATTTTTCAAAGGCATTCGACAGAGTTAACCACAATTGCTTGATTGGAAAGCTTAGTAACATTGGCATTGGTGGTAGTAATCTTCTGAAATGGATCGAATGCTTTATAACAAACCGCATTCAAATTGTTCGTGTTTCTGGTTTCTTATCCTCTGGCTTTACCACTACATCTGGTGTCCCTCAAGGTTCACATTTGGGACCTCTACTTTTTAATATATATAACAATGACATCCAAAATTGTTTTAAGAATTCTCAGTTCCTTTGCGTTGCTGATGATTTAAAATTATTCATGCGTGTAAATTCCTTACGTGATTGTATTTGCCTTCAAAAAGACTTGGATAACTTGGTCCAATGGTGTAGTACTAATGGAATGGAATTAAATACAAGTAAATGTCATGCAATCAATTTCAACAGAAAACATAGTCCTATTGAATATATCTATAAAATCAATGACATAACACTGGATACTATTACAGAGGTAAAAGATTTGGATGTGATATTAGACTCCACCCTTTCTTTTCAAACTCATATAACAGCCTCAGTTAATAAAGCATTAAGAATGTTGGGTTTCCTTAGAAGAACTACTTCTGATTTTCATAATGTGATGTGTTTAAAGATTCTTTATTGTGCCTTAGTTAGACCTTATATTGAATATGCTTCTTCTGTATGGAATCCTTTTTATGTATATCTAATCCATAATATAGAACAGGTTCAAAGAAAATTTTTACGCATTGTTGCATTTAAATCGGGTATTGTCCCAGTCAACTTCAGATACAATTATGACGAATTACACACACTTTGTCATCTTGAGACCCTTCTGAGCAGAAGAAACCAAAGGGATCTTAAAATATTGTTTAACATTATTAACTCATCTGCCGATTGTCCATACTTGTTATCCCAAATTGGATTTTCTGTACCCTCTAGAGTAACTAGGAATATTAATACATTCTCTCAACCTTTTCATAGAACAAATTATGGTTCTCACTCTTTTATTCCTAGAGCAACAAGATCTGCTAACAGACTAAATGTAGAATGGATTACTTCTCCATCAGATTTTTCTATCCATTTATGTATATGTGAGGAGTAATTTTTAATTGTTTTTAATATTTATGTATTTAAATTAATTTATTATTATTATTTAAGATTTTATTACTATTTAATGTATGTAATATGTATTATCTGTAATTGTATTGTTTTAATGGGCTCTGACCCGTAAATAAATAAATAAATAAATAAATCCCAGTGTTTCTCAACCTAGAGCGACAACGATAACTTATGGAAGCTACAGGTGTGAAAGTTTCAATTGAAACTCTAAGAAAAAGACTTCGCGCACGAGGTTTGTACAGTAGGAAAGAGTTACAAGTCCCACCGTTATCTAGGCAAAATAAAATTGACCGGCTAAATTGGTGCCTCCAACACCAAAACTGGACAATTGAGAATTGGCAAAAATGTTCTTTTTTTGAATGAGACCAGAATTGGCCTAAGATCAGATGACCATCGAATTCGGGTTCTCAGAGCTCCAGGAAGATGAGCGAGACTCCACGCTGCCAGATATGTCCCAAGAAATCAAAGAGGAACTGTAATGTTTTGGGCAGGTATTACGTTGGAAGCAAAAACTCCATTGTTAACACTTCATCAAACTTTAACCGGTCGGTCCGAGATATGTTGATTTAGTGCTAGAACCAATGGTAAGGCTTTGGAGAGCTGCAATTGGGGATAATTTTATCTTTATGCACGATAATGCACCTCCCAATACTAGCAGAGTGGCTACAGAATATCTTGAAATAGAAGGTGTCACAGTTTTAGACTGGCCTGCATGTTCACCAGACCTAAATCCTATCGAACACTTGTGAGACCAGCTCAAAAGAAGGATTAGAGCTCATCGAAACAATGCCGGAAATGTCGCACAGCTTATTGATGCAGCATTAGCAGAACTGGAAAGCATACCCCAAGACAATGTTGACAATTTAATAAGAAGCATGCCAAAGCGAATAGAAGCTTGCATAAGGGTTAGAGGTGATA